ACAAACTTTTCAAATTTCAATCCTTCATATTTTCTCAATGACTCGACCGATTTTCAAAAACGAAGAGGGGAAATATAGAGAATAGAAAGCTCTTTTCATTGTGGCGCCACTTGACCCCCCTTCCCATCTGAAAAAAGTTGGGGGATGACACCCCCGCTTAGAGGGTTGAAGATTTTGCAATCATTTTTGGGGCAAAAGTTGTTCCCTCGCAAACAAAATTGACGTGTTTTTGGATTTTCTGAAAAAAAAAATAACCCTGGCCATTATGCCTTGCGGAACGTTTTCGATGGGCCACCCTGTATACTAGAGCCGAGCATTCACCCGTGAATTTGTTGGGTGCAGTCAAGCATGAGGTTTTCCACTAAGAACACCTGCATTGGAGCGTTTTATGAGTGGTTGCCACATTGTTGAAATTTCCATACTAGGATTGCTAAAGATTTTATTATTGTTAGAAATGAATACGGCCTCTTTAAATTTGCGCTTTTTCCAATGGGGTTCTTTGTGGACAACCCGGGCTTCCGACCATTTTATATTGTGGTGCTTGGATTACACATGATCTGCAATGCCCGACTTCATTGTTTCACCTCTTTGCGTATGTTTTTTATGTTCGTCCAGTCGTACATCTAGAGGACGTTTTGTCTCTCCAATATACGACTCACCGCACTCGCAAGGTACCTGGAAGATGCACTCTTTCTCTTGGTTTGATGATTCAGGTTTTGTTTTTGTTAGGACACTTCTTAGAGTAGTCCCAGACTTAAAAACAGTTTTAATTTTATGTTGCTTAGCTATTCGCCTGATCTTCTCCGATGTTCGTTTCACATATGGAATCGTCAAGAGGGAGAGAGAGAGCATCCTCCTCAGGCTGGCGTACCAATGAGTCGGACCTGCAATTGGATATAATATTGTCTAGGGATTTTGCAGAGTAACCATTCTGAAGCAAATCGGTTTTAATATTATTTAGTTCAGAATTCAGAGATTCTTGGTTACTGGATATACTGATTGCTCTATGACATAGTGTTTTAATTATACCTCTTTTGGTTGCTTCAGAATGGTTCGACTGAGAATTTAAATATTGTTCTGTATGTGTTGGTTTTCTATATACAGAAGTGCTAATGGATCCATCGCTCCTGCTTACAAAAACATCCAGAAACGGCAGAGAGAAGTTTTTCTCTTACTCAATCGTGAATGTGATTGAGTTATTTCGTGAATTAAGATGATTAAGAAAGGAATCCAACTGTCTATCGGTTCCGTTCCAGATTATAAAGGTATAATCAACATATCGAAGCCAGATTTTGGGTTTGACGACCTCGGTACTAATGGCATTGGTCTCGAACCATTCCATATATACAACATATATATATATATATATATATATATATATATATATATATATATATATATATATATATATATAAAGAAAAGATGTTATCGTGGGGACTATAATAAAAAGAAGGAGAAATGCAATTGTTAGGCCCACAGTGGATTAATGCATGTATATATATTATATGCATTATATATATATAATAATAATATATATATGTAATATATATATATGTAATATAATATATATATATATATATATATATAACAATATATATATATATAGTATATATATATATATATATATGCTCTTTCTGCTAACTGGTTCATATATATATATATATATATATATATATATATATATATATATATATATAATGTATATAATATATATACATGGCTAACACTGGAGATTATACTCTTATCTATATATATATATATATATGCTATATATATATATATATATATATATATATATAATATATATATAGAAACGATGCATATCGTAAGTTTATATATATAAAGCAAAGAATGTTATCGATTGGACTGAGTTACAGGTAAATATATATAAATATAATATATATATATATATATATATATATATATATATATATATATATATATATATATATATATATATATATATATATATATATATATATATATATATATATATATATATATATATATATATCATAGTATATATGGAATATATATAAGGCAATATATTATATATATCAAACAAATGTTAACGTGATACTATATATATATAATAACATATGCAATTCACGAGCAACTAATAATCATTCATATATAAACTTATATATATATATATATATATATATATATATATATATATATATATATATATATATATATATATATATATATTTTCGCTATCACTGGAGAGACCGGGGAACCCATAGGTAAACCATCATTTTGAGCATAAAACTTTTCTTTAACTTGAAAATAAGAATTATGCAGACAGGACCTCAAGAGCTCCATCACTCCCCTAAGAGGCAGCGAAGTCCTTTCGGAAAACGTTACGTCATTCCTCAATCTAGCCTCGACGATGTCTAACGATTCCTCTAAAGGGACGTTGGTGTACAAATTCTCTACGTCAAAACTGACCAATTTGTCTGAAGGACCTAATTCTACTTTCTTAAGTATATCTACATAATGTTTAGAGTTCTTAACGAATGAAGATATTTTTCCTACCAATGGTTGGACAATTTGAAGGAGAAATCTACTTAAATTGCTAGTTGCTGAATCTCTTGAACTAGTGATAGGTCTCAGTGGCACACCATCTTTGTGAGTTTTTGGTAATCCATAAAGATGTGGTGGTTTACTGTGATGTGGTGTAAGAGATGTTTCAAGTAAATACATAATGTTCAAAATTAAATAAGGTAAGTTCTTTTCAGAAGAGAGAGACCTTACCACCTATGAGTTTATTTTGAATTTTATTTAAATTAATTAGAAA